AGAAAGATGAATCTTCCTGACTACAGATCTGACAGTCTATTAGCTTCCCAAAAGCAAAAATAGACATAATTAAGAGAGATAAGCAGGGAAACTACATTTTGCTAAAAAGTACCATAGATAATGAAGTAATATCAATACTAAACATATATGGACCAAATAGCATAGCATCCAAATTCTTAAAGGAAAAGTTAAATGAGTTACAGGAGGAAATAATAAAACTACACTACTGGGGCACCTCAAGTTACCCTTCTCAAAACTCTGCTAAAGTTGTTAACTATTTCAAGTAGTTTTTCAGTTGATTCTCTAGGATTCTCTAAGTATACGATAGTATCATATGCAAAGAGTAATAGTTTTTGTTTCCTTAATGCCTATTCTAATTTTTTCAATTTTTTTCTCTTATTGCTATAGCTAACACTTCTAGTATAATATTGAACAATAGTGGTAATAATGGGCATCCTTGTTTTCCCCCTCAACTTATTGGAAAGGCTTATCCCCACTACAAATAATGCTTGCTGATGGTTTTAGGTGGATACTATTTGTCATTTTAAGGAAAACTTCATTTATTCTTATGCTGTCTAGTGTTTTTATTGGAATGGGTATTGTATTTTGTCAAAAGCTTTTTCCCCACCTATTGAGATAATCATATCATTTTTTTGTTATTGATATGGTTAACTATGCGATAGTTTTCTTAATATTGAGCTAGCTCTGCATTCTTGATATAAATCTCACCTAGTCATAGTGTATGATCTTTGTGATATATTACTGTAATGCCCTTGCTAGTATTTTATTTAAAAAATTTTTTGCTCTCTCTCTCTTTTCTCTCCCTGGTTTAGATGTCAGCACCTTATTTGTGTCATAAAAGGAATTTGGTAGGACTCCTTATTTGCTTATTTTTCCAAATAGTTTATATAGTATTGGAATGAATTGTTCTTTAAATGTTTGGTAGAATTTACTTGTGAATCTGTCTGGTCCTGGCAATTTTTTCTTAGGGAGATCATTAATGGTTTGTTCAATTACTTTTTCTAAGAAGGCGTTATTTAAGTATTCTATTTCTTCTTCTGTTAACCTGAACAATTTATATTTTTGTAAACTTTCATTCATTTTGCTTAGATTGTTATATTTACTGGCATATAACTGGGCAAAATAGCTCCTATAATTTTTCATCTTCATTGGTGGTGAATTCACCCTTTTCATTTTTGATGTTGGTAATTTAGTTTTCTTTCTTTTTAAAAATTAATTTAACCAGTGTTTTATTTACTTTATTGGGTTTTTCATATAAAAATCTCCTACTTTTATTTATTAGTTCAATGGTTTTCTTACTTTTAACTTTATTAATCTCTCCTTTGACATTTTGGATTTCCAATTTGACTTAATTGAAGATTTTCAATTTGTTCTTTTTCTAATTTTTTTTTTAGTTGGATGGCCAATTCATTGATCTGTTCTTTCTCTATTTTATTTACATAAGTGTTTAGAGATATAAAATTTCCCCTAAGTACTGCTTTGGCTGCATCCTATAAATTTTGGTATGTTGTCTCACTGTTGTCATTCTCTTTAATGAAATTACTGATTGTTTCTACGATTTGTCCTTTGACCCACTCATTCTTTAGGATTAGATTATTTAGCTTCTAATTAATTTTTAATCTATCTTTCTGTGGCCCTTTATTGGATGTAATTTTTATTGCATTACAATTTAAAAATGATGCATTTAGTATTTTTGCTTTTTTGTATTTGCTTGTATGGTTTTTAATGCCCTAATACGTGGTAAATGTTTGTGTAGGTGCCATGTACCACTGAGAAAAAGATATATTCCTTTCTATTCCCATTCAGTTTTCTCCAACATCTTTTGAAATATTCTCTTTCTCTCCATGCACGTGACCACAACCATGGTGTAGGCTACCATCACATTATATTTGGACTATTGCCATAGCTTCCTAATTGATTTTCTTGCCTCAGGTCTCTCCATCAATCCAATTCATCCTCCACTCAGCTGCCAAAGTGATTTTTCTGAAGTAGCCAAGTCATCCCCCTCCCCCTCCTTATAATTTTACTATTTCTCCATGTAACTCATTTGGTGTTCCTGTAAGTATTTAGGTTCAGTTCCATTTGGCATATATATTTTATGTATCAAAATTAATTTACTATCTATGGTACCTTTCAGGAAATTGTAGTTTTTCTGTTTATCTTTTAAGATGAAATCTATTTTTCCTTATCTTAGAGCATAATGGATTTGCTCTAGGCCCTTATTTCAACTTTGTATGAAATTTTTTCAAGTGTTGTAAAACAGCATATTATTGGATTCTGCTTTTTAATACTTTTTTTATCCTCTTCTGTTTTAAAGTATGTTCTTCCCATTCAATTTACAGTTATGCTTTTTAATTGCTTATTTCTCTCCATCTTATTCTCTTATCTCTCTTCCTCTTTTTGTTCTCTGGATATTCTTCGCAAAGAAGAGGGTCACAAAACAGGAGTATGCTGAGTACTAGTGCTCTATGCTTGATGCAACCAACCTCCCATCCCCTCCTGCCCCTCTTCTCTTCCCCTCACCAAGATCCAAATCACAGCTTCTTACTCCTTCTTTAAGTTCATACCCCTCTTCACAATCTACCCTCTAATGCAATTGTTTATGAAATTGTTTTAAAGATACATTTTCTCCAGGGGTTACTTTGGTTGTATTCTAAAAATTTTATTATGTTGGTAGGTTGTCTCATTGTGTCCCTTATCTTTAGTGAAACCACTATGATTTATTCTTTGACCTACCACTTCCTCAAGATTCCATTTAGTCTCCAATAAATTTGTTAAACTTTTCCCAAAGGTCCTTTATTAAACATAATTTTTACTGCACTGTGGTCAGTAAAAGATGTATTTAATAATTCTCCTTTCATATATTTGTGAAGTTATATCTAATGTATGGTCAATTTTTATAAAGGTGACACACTAGTCTTTTCTTTTTTTTTCCCTCCCAAAATTGGATTCTAACAGTTTTCATAGTGATGAGTCAGACTACATGTCACCAGAAGAGCTCAACTTAGCTCCACATGTAGTCTATGGTATGGACCCCAAGGACCCATCTGCATGCAGACACCATGGGATATGGGTGATTCAACCCTCTGCTATACTTAGCTAGGTCCTCAGATATGAGGTGATTTGTCACTGGGACTGTATTGAAGCCTTTTAAGCATGGCAGAACCTGCAAGAATTGTATAATCCTCTAGCATAGACTTGTAGAGTCCAAGTTCATTCTGAGCACCAGGATGAGGCAACTGATAAGCACTTAGTAGAATTCCTTTAATGCATTCTGGAATTTTGTTAGGAATTGAAGTTAATCTCATAGGCCTATAATTTGTAGATGCTGATGGTCACAAAAGAGATATGTGAGTTTCAATAGTTCAACATAAAACACAACATTTTTGAGCAAGCCATTTCCCTTCTCTGTGTCTCATTTCAACTGCAAAATAAGGGACTCAGTCCCTTAGGTCTTTTTTACCTCTAATGAACAATGAACAATTGTATTGGTTTTTTTTTTTAATTTCTCTGAATGATTTCCTGACCTCTCCAACTGCGACAGCCTCCTCCTTGAAATTATCTTCTATATGCTATGTATTTTATATTTACTTAAGTATCTAAGTAAATACACATGTGTATGTTTCCCCTTCTTCTAGAATGTAAGTTCCTTGAGGGTAGAGTCTGATTTGTTTTTTTCTCTGTATTCCCAACACCAAGCACAGTTTAGGTTCATAGTAAGCCCTTAGTAAATGTTTATTGATATGTAAATCCCCTTTTGCTTTTTAAAGAGATAAGCCTAAGTCAAGGGAGCAGATGACATGATGTGTTCCTTGGTGTTCTTCCTGCCACCTAGAAAGAAGGAGGCCGTGTGATATACTGGAAAGAGCATTGTCTCTGAAGTTAGAGGATCTAGGTTAAAATCCCACAAGTCATTTATCCTCCTGCAGCCTCATTTTCCTCTTCGGTAAAATGAGGAGTTAGATTAAATGACCTATGAGGTCCCTTCAAGCTCCAGATCTATGAACCTGGTTTTATTTTTCTTTCAAAATGAAAATAAAACCTGAAAAATCTGAATGGAAGAATTTGAGGCATGGTAGTGGGGAAAGTACATCAGACTAGGACAGCTACTCTGTCACTAATTTATTTTGTCACTAATCTTGAGAACATCATGATCTCTTGGGGTCCTAGTTTCCTCACCTATGAAATGAAAAAATACCAACCCTACCTTCTTCTTAGGGAATTTATGAGAATAATGTAAGGTTTTAGGTGGGAAACGGCTTTGATAAACAGATGTGTAATGATGGTATTATTATAAAAAGCCCCAATCCTTCCTCCATAACAGTTTGATGACTATTACTCTGCTAACATAGTTAACAGGGTCCTTAGAAATCTTGACTAGCCAGAAGACATAACGCTGTTGTTGTCTGTTGACTTGTGACAAACCACTTGTATTTGCTACAATATGACAACAATATTATGACTTAATCTTCACCCAAGATACCTACAAAATTGTTGGGGAAGGGGGAGTGGTGATAGTAGGATTTCTCACTAAACATGACGATTACATAGATATGGTCCCAGGGGCTTCAACTAGGGAGTGGGAGAAACAATATCTGGAAATGACTGTGCTCTAAAAATGAAGACACTAATTAAGTTTTTTAAAACCATGAAAATTACAGAAGGAGAGAGAAATTCTGGAACGCAATCTTAGCTTTCCCATATTCTGCTTTAGCAAAAAAAAAAAAAAAATACCACCTTAACTCTTTTTAACCCAGAATGAAGATTTTGAAAAGCTTCAAATCTCCCTTAATCTTTAGGGGAACTTCAGAGAAGATTATCCTGGGCTGTACTTATGGAGAAAGTCACCCATAAATATTTAGAAAAAGAAAAGCACCATAACTGAATCAAAAAGAGCCACCAAACGGGCATGGGCAAGTAAAGGAATCACACTTAGATCGGTTCAGATCCTCCCCATCCTGAGTTACCTTCTTTCTTACCTTGTCTGCTCAGCCATAGACTGCGAGCCAAAGTTAGATGGAGGATGGGAAGAAGTTGCTGAAATGTCAAGTAACTCCTCAGGAACTGGTGACTGAGGTGGAACAGTAAGATCAGAAGGTGGAGCAGGAGGCTGCACAGTTGGTGGAGTACAGGATGATTTTCGGGTGACAGAGGAACCTCTTCGGGCCACCCAAGATGTATCCATAACCCTCACACCCATGCTGGTCGGGGAATGACACAAAGACACTTGTTTATCATCCTATAATATAACTGGCAGGATCCCTTCCCAACAAAGCAGAAACATTAAAGCACATCTGCACAAAAGTGAAACATTAGCATAGCCTGAGCACAGCCTTCTTCCCCTCTGGGATAAAGCAATGCCATTGTTATTTCTGAATTGAAATGGGAATTAAAAGCAAGTTTTTCCCACCCACACACTCTGCTGGGGCCAGCCTATGACAACTCTGGTTGGTGTAGGTTTCAATAGAGTTGTTTCCCTTAGCAGGAGGAATTAAGGATAGGGTTGTGGTACTTCAATATTCTGCTAAACCCACCTGGCCATATTAAGAGTCTGTTGTGCCACAATCTCAAACCTTCCCTCAAAGTACAAGATGGTCTCATCTAGAAAGATTTTGAGCAAGGGAAGGGAAAATACACGGACATTAATGGCTGGGCCTTTAGGTTACCTCCAAATAAGCAGAAACATCAGATCAGTTCTTTAAAGCCTGGTAGGATACAGAGCAAATTTAACAACTATGTGTTGGTCTCTTGGTGTAGTAGAAAGTGTCCTTGAGTGGGCATCATGAGATCTATAGTCTAGTCTGGCTTCACTGCTAATTATATGGCTTTGGGCAAGTGTCTTCTATGCCTTAGCTTCCTTGTATGCAAATTGTGGGTGTTAGATTCCACAATTTTGGGATTCTAATTTAATGATGAAAACACAGCATAAATATTTGCCAAGCAACCAAACACTGAGCATTCAACCTCTTGAAGAATTCACTGGGACATAGCTAGCTTAAGGTTTAAAAGGCTTAACATGGCCCAGCAGCTACTAGCGGATACCATACCTTTGGATTTTCCTAAGGCTGCATGGACAAAAACATACAAATATTAGTGTCAAAGAAACTAAATCTTTCTTTGGGTGAGAAGGACCCAATAAAGGAGCCCCTATGAAGAGTATGGATATATAATAAGCCCTTTACTCACTTCAGTTAATACTTTTTATGTGGTCAAAATTTATTTTCCATTGGTAATGATGAAAATATCCCATAAATCACCACAGAGTCTTGTTGAGACTGTGTGGTGGGGATGGGGATGGAGGAGGGAGAAAGAGATGGTTTAACAGGAAGATCCATCTACTTTTAAGTGAATTGACATTGTAAATTTCCCTTTAATTTGCATCAAAGTCAAATATAGAAGTGTAAATGAGGACTGTGGTTCATGTATCTTCCTGACCAAAAAGTAGATCACACATGAAACAAAAATAAACCACTCACATAAAGAGATGCCATTGTGTACTCATAACTCCAATGCCCCCAATGTGGGGCAGTAAGAAAAGGAGGAAGGAACGAAAGTCACACACTTACCATTTTTATAGTCAAGCCAAGAACTTCCCTCTCCCAAAAGAAACATTCAAATATATTGATATCAAAGTAGAACAGCAATACATACGTCAATATTTATTATGGATGGGCATAGCAGCTGGGGCACAGACACCTTAGAGAATTTTGGTTTGGCATATCTACTATAGTGGGAAAAATACTGTAGATGTTTGATTTCCAGAAAGAGAGAGTTAAGTTGGGATGGGAATTCTTGCCCAATTATGTATTCATCTTTATTTTTTCCCTGGAAGGCAATGATAGGATTCATCATATCATATTTTGGCCATATCTAGGTAAACTTCAGGGCAAAATTGGAAGCATATAAACATTTCTACTTTGGGATATCTCCAATCTACAATCTTGACTCTCACTGAAGGTGGCTGACCTGTTTTCAGGTATGCTGTAGAAAGAATTTCTATTCAGGTCTGAGTAGAACTAGATCACTTCTGAGGTCCCTTTAAGTGTGACATATATAGCTTCAAAACAGGTAGAAGCAAGCCGAGGGCAACTGCTTATTATTTGCAGTGCTCATAGGATTGGACTGTCTTGGTCCTAGCACCCACTGTGGAATTCAAGCCACTTGAGTCTGAGATATCTCTGGAACAATCCTCTTGCCCTCATCGCTTAGGAGACCCCTGGGAATGTCCTGGTAGTTTGGGAAAAAGGGGGGGGGGTGGGAAACTAGCTTGATTCCTCAGGAAATATGGGTTGGTAAATGAGATTCAAGGAAGAATCTCTCTCTCTCTCCCTTTCTCTCTCTCTCTCTCTCTCTCTCTCTCTCTCTCTCTCCCTCTCAAGCTTTCTCTGGTACAAATCTATACAGGTTCTTTTCCTACTTGTCTAAGTCTGTCTCAGTTTCCTTTCTCCAAGCCATGTCTGCTAACAGGGGGTATCAGTCAGTCAACCAGCATTTATTAAGTGCCTTCATAGTAGTGGTCTAATTTGATAATTGATTCTCTGAGTGGGTGGCTCTGGCTCTTCTTGACAAGATATCTGCACAAGCATTTGATTATATTCTCAATAGTATTTCCCAGCAGATTGCATCCACAATCATCACCCCTCTCTCCTTAACCTCTTTTTTATTTTTTTGTTTATTTTTTATTTTTTGGCAATTGGGGTTAAGTGATTTGCCCAGGGTCACACAGCTAGTAAGTGGCAAGTGTTTAGTCTGAGGCCGCATTTGAACTCAGGTTCTCCTGATTTCAGGGCCACTGCGCCACCTAGCTGCCTTTCCCTTAACCTCTTTCTAAAAGCTAATCAATTGTTTTCACACATGCCCAGGTCTCTCCCACCCTTAAAAAAAAAAATCACTAGATTCTATTATCCCCTCAAGCTACATCCTGTATCTCTCCTCCCCTTTTCAGGCAAATTCCTTGAAAAAATTGTCTATATTCACTACTATTATTTATTCTCTCATTCACTCTTTTTCAGTCTAGTTTGTCACCTCATCACTAAATGGAAACTGCCCTTTCCAAAATTACCAATAATCTCTTGACTGCCAAATAGAATGGCTTTTTCTCAGTCCTGATTCTTCTTAACCTGTCTGAGGCATTTGATACTTGTGGACCTCTCACTCCTACTGGATATCTATCTTATCTGGGTTTCTGTGATGATGTTTTCTCCTAGCTGGCTTCTGACCTATCTGACCTTTCATTTTCAGTCTCTTTTGCTGGCATATCACTAATATCATTTCCTTATTTGTATGTCATCCCTAGGGTACTATGCTAGGCCCTGTTTTTCTTCTCTCTCCATACTTTCTTGGTAATAGACTCATCAGATTTATATTTTCAGCTCCAGTTTCTCTAGTTTCTGAGTTTTAGTTTGCATCACCAACTATCCATTGGACATTTCAAACTGCATGTCCTAGAGACATCTTAAACTCAAATTGTCCACAACTGAATTCATATTTTCTTTGTAAACCTTCTTTTCTTCCAAACTTCCCCATTTCTGTTGAAGATACTATAATTTTTCCAGTCTCCCACCTTGATAACCTTGGCATTATCCTCAACTCCTCAAGATTCCTCAGCTTACATATCCAACCAGTTGCCAAACCAATTTCCAGTTGTCATCTTTACTCTCATAACAGCTCTTGCCTTTGACTCCTTCTCTCTACTCATGCAGCTACCACCTTGGTTAAGTCTCTCATTATTCCAACAGCCTCCTAATTGGTCTTCCTTCCTCAAATCTCTCATTACTCCAGTCTATTTTATATACTCTTGCCAAAGTAATTTTCCTTAAGTGCAGATTTGACCATGTGATTCCAGTGGCTTCCTATTGCCTTCAGTATAAAATCTAAACTGATTTGTTTAGCTTTTAAAGTCCTACACAATCCAACCCCAAACTATCTTTCTAGCCTCATTGGATGAGTCTCCCCTTTAATTAAGCCAGACTGGCTTCTCTGTTCATCATAAACAATACACTCTATCTCCTTGCTTCTACTAATGCTCTCCCTCCCAAACTACCTTAAATTTAACTACTCTGTAGATATTTGTACTTATTCTCTCTATATACACATATGTACATATAAACATATGCTTGTGTTTATTCTACATATACATATAAATATTTACATAATTAAATATAAAGTTATATTTGTATATATGTATAATATATATGTATAATATGTATATTTATATAAATATAAGTAAACATGCATATGTATGCACATATACTTATTATCTCCCCAACTAGAGTGTAAATTCAATATGAGTAGGGACTGTTTCATTCTTTGTACCTGTACTTGTATCCTCAGTGCCTAACAGTAAGTTAAATGGTTCACAGTAGTTACTTTAATAAGTACATGTCGATTGATTAATTTATCAATTCAATGGTGAGGCACAAACAACTAGTTATACATTGTTTCTCATAGTAAATAACACACATATATTATTTATATACTTATATATACACACATATATTTGTTGTTCAGTTGTTCAGTCATGTCCAACTCTTCATGACTCCGTGGACCATAAAGTCCATGGGATTTTCTTAGCAAAGACATTGGAGTGGTTTGTCATTTTCTTCTCCAGTGAATTGAAGCAAACACAGGTTAAGTGACTTGCCCAAGGTCATGCAACTATGAGGTTGGATTTGAACTCAGGTCTTCCTGACCCCAGGTCCACCGAATAATCTAGCTGCCTTCTAGAAAAGCTAGAAAGCATCTAGCTGTGTGTGTGTGTGTGTGTGTGTGCACACGTATGTGTGCGTATATGTGTTTGTATGTATACACACATATATGTATATATGTGTGTGTATGTGCGTAGGAGTGTGTGCCCGTGTGCATGAAAACACATAGTGCTCTTGCCGTGGCTAGAAAATAGAAAAGATTCTTGAAGTTCCCTTAAGGTGAAATAAACTTCCTGCTAGGCCAATTTCACTGCATTATTCATTGAGAAAACCTAATTACAAAGATTTCAGATTTAAAACTCAATGATGTCTTGAATGCAATGACGCCAATTAAAAATTTCATTGTTTCTCCATCTGCTCTGATTCAGACTAGAAGAAGAGCTATGCTATAAGAGCTATAAAAGCATTCTATTTCATAGCATCATTTCTGATAGTGTTTTGCTTTGTAAACTGTATTGATGTAATCGATTTGTTTTAGTAAGAAAAAGAGCAAAACTACTACAAAGCAGATATTAACAAATAGCTACAAAAATTAATGTTTTCTGACTGACCTCACCATTCCCCTAAACTAACTTATCCTTTCCTGAAAACTATGGAGCATCAGTTATGAAACTAGTTTTTTCTTGGGATATTTGAATTCTACTTCTTGTTATTTTTAAAACACATAACAAATCTATCACTGTAGAAGACACTGTAATATATATGTAAGAAATACTTTTAAATAGGCATCAACCTTTTAAGTGACATGGTCCAATATTTTTAACTGAATCAAAAATGTTGTGATAATAATAATAATAATGATGATGATGATAATAATATGGACATATTTGTTGGCCGGTATTGAGTATTTTGAAATATAAATCATAAAAGTAAAAACCTCAGAACTACTGACATTAAAGGAGACACCAATAGAGCACACATGATTCTAACTTGCTAGTGAAATTTGTTTGAAGAAAATTGAATTTGAAGTTCATTCAACAATGAATCCCCATGCCAATATGATATAGGTATCTGTGTACATGAAATCAGTCTTCTGTACTTCTGGAGCATAGTTATTCAGATGCATATATTTATATATTTAAAGCATTTAAATATATGCTAGAAATGGGAAAATTCATTAAGAAAAAGCCAGGGCAGGGAACATACTCAATTAGTAAGAACTGTACTTTCATTTAAATTTAATTACTTCATAAGAGACAATATTTTGGTTATATGTATATATGGTTAGTAAAACTAGAATTCATTGATGAATGATTGACACAAGAAACCACAAATCAGAATAAAGTGTTAGAATGAAACTTCTGAAATGTTGCCAACAGCTGGTTCTAGAGAACTCTAGAGAATTCTAGTAGTGACAAAAGAAATTCTAGATGTCAGCTAACCTGGGATTTGTTTAAGGTATCACTATTTGCTCACTGTTTCTTTCCCATTGATAGTTAACGGATTATTAGTGCCCCAACATGGTTCAAAACATAACTCCTTAGAAATCATTCTAAAATGTTTTGCCAGAGGCAGCTGGGTAGTACAGTGAATAGAGATCACCAGCCCTAGAGTTGGGAGGACCTACGTTCGAATCCAGCTTCAGACACTTGACACTTATTAGCTGTGTGACCCTGGGCAAGTCACTGAACCCCAATCACCTCCCCCCAAAATAAATAAATAAATAAATAAATAAATAAAAGTTTTGCCAGAGGAAGGTATTTAGGAACCAGACCCTTAGGGTTAGAGGGCAGGAAGAGCAGACTAACTTGACTAAGGGACAAGGAGCAAATGTCGACCAGGGCTCTAATTTCAAGTCTGAATTCTTTCCATAATGTCTTCGGAGGCTCTGATCAGGTTGGAGGTGCTCTAGACAAAGATTACCAATCACTTAATGGTAAAAGTAAAATAGCATTTTAAAGTCCAACCATGAAAATGAGATTAAATTAAATTAGACAATTCCCTAGCAAGAGCTATTGTTTCATTCACACAAAAATCAGAAATCCTTCCCTGAGATAACTAAGGGACTATGAATTTCTGGTACTCTCCTAGTTTGTTCCCTAAATATGCCACATCTTATCCTTAACAGGAAAGAAAGATAAATAACCCCCCAAAACCTCTGAGATGAATCCCAAGGTTTCTAGTTAACAGGGAAAGAACTCTCTGGTCACCTTGGAAAACGAAGGTTGCTCACCCTTTTTAGGGAAAATGAGACTCCAGGCATCCTACCCAGCCCTCCCTATCACCACATGGAAAAGCTGGTCTGCAGACAGAGGAGACCACTCTCATCTTAAGGCTCATATCCTTTCTAAAATAATTCATTGTGACATGCCTTTCTAATGGAGCTACCCACCTACCCTAGTGCCCTATTTGGGGCACTGTGAGAGGCACTAAAAAGGGTTGAGCTTAATTTCTCATTATCTAGATCTTACTGATGGTGCTTTTTATTTCTTCTTCTTTTGAAGAAGTGACTACTTGGTTCATATGAACTTCTGTCATAAAAAGAGAAGGGAAGGGAAGGGAAGGGAAGGGAAGTGAAGGGGAGAAGAGGAGAGGAGAAGAGAGGAGAGGAAAGAGAAAGAGAGAGAGAGAGAGAGAGAGAGAGAAAGTGTATGTGTATGCGTGTGTTTAATTCTGGCTGTCCACTAGGAATAGGAAATGCAGGGTTTTGTTGTTGGTTTTGATTCTGGCTACAGACTAGTATGGGTGATGCTGAATTCTACATAAGGTTTAAATGGGAGATGCAGTTTTTTTGTTGTTCTGTTGTTTTTTATTCTGGCCACTTACTGGTATAGGTGATGCAGAACTCTATAAAAGGTTTAAATTTTTATCCATTCCAGTTTTACTAACTTATGTTTTTATGAATTCAACAGACATTTGGATGTCTCTTTGCTGCTGCTAAGGTTTATGAACTTTCCAGCAAACTGCATTTTTCTTATACCTCCCTCCCCACCTGCCTTTCCGAGGGCTGAGAAGGAAATATCTGATCATACCCATCCTTCTTGTAAAACTCCAACATCATATTATCAGTAGCCACACTGAGGGGCCGCCGAGCTGGCTCAGGCTGTCGCTGATCAGGAGGGTCCATATCAGGAGATGGCACTGAGCTGTAATTTGCATTGTGGTTCACATGTATAGGGCTCCCGTAATTACCTGTCACATTGAACTCTATCTCTGCCAGGGAAGAAAGAATGGGTATGTATGTAAAGCCTCATGTCTTATGACCACCCCTCCCCACCCCCATATCTTCTGATTGATGAGGGCAAGAGATATCTCCTCCTCTTGCTTTCCCACGTAGAAAGGTCCATCTCATCCATTCCCCATGCCACTAACTTTAGCCTGGCAATTCCTTTTTTTATAGTAATTTACTTACCAACTCTTCCCAGAGCCCACACAGCCACAATTTTCCATCTTTCCATTCCCACTTTCTTATTCACATTTTTGAACAATATCCCTACCCCATTCTCTTTCCGGTTTCTGTTCTTTGTCATCAATAGAGCTCTCAGAATAATCAATAACTCATCTCTCAGATGGTGACACACAAAGCAGAAATAACATGAATTAATTTTTTTCAATCTTAGATTAGTATGAGACTAGTTTCCACAGGGGGTAGAATACAGAGCTAGCAAGCTCAGAGTCTGATATCCACATGGACCACTTTTTTTTTTTTTAAAAGGCAATTGGGGTAAGTGATTTGCCCAGGGTCACACAGTTAGTTAAGTGTCAAGAGTTTGGTCTGAGGCCGAATTTGAACTCAGGTCCTCCTGATTTCAGGGCTAGTGCTGTACCCACTGCGCCACCTAGCTGCCCCCTATGTGGACCACTCTTAAGCTTAGCAAAAGTTATCTTATGAGGAGAAAATCATGATTACAAAGTAATGTCACTAACTTGGCAACAAGAATAGGGTATAGAACTACTATAAGTCCAATTATCTCAGTTCAAGCTAAGAGTCAAGCCAATCAGCATTAAGTGCCTACTGTGCACACAGGCACAGTGCTAGATACTAGGGATACAAAGACAAAAATAAAGACAGTATCCACCCTCAGTGAAATTACTTTCTCTTGTGGAAAACAATATGTACACATATAAATAAGTACCAAATATATACAAATTAAATACAAGGTAATTTTTGGTGGTGTGTAGGAAGGCACTAGTATCTTATTAAAACAAGATTCACTAGGAAGTGGTTCCCTAAAGGAAGTTAAGGATTCTAAAAGATAGAAGTGAGGAGGAGATATATTATAAGCATTATGGGACAGGCTATGTATGATGATGGAACTTTAATAAGTCAAAGATCATAGATTCAGTCTCTGTAAATGCAATATAGTGAAGCAGAAAATACACCAGATTTAAGAAATCAGAGATTTGGTTCCTGTCCTGCTACTATGTGACCTTAGCAAAGTCACTTTCCTTCTCTGGTCCTTAGTTTTCTCATCTGTTAAATGAAATGATAGGGTTGTATTAGATCATGTCTAAGAGTCCCTTCTAGCTCTAAATACTATGACCTTACACTTATTTGGACGATGATGCTATTTATTGCCCAAAACATTTCTAGAACTTCTCTTTGGAAAAAGTCTGCATAGCTAATTTATGAGACAGCTAAGGGAACCAGTCTCTTATTTATATGTCTAGCTACCAAGGGAATAGGATCACAGAGTTTAGACAAATCACCAAAATATATCATTACTGGAAAACAACTTTATATGTTAGTGTTCATCACATATACATATGCACATATACATACACACATATATATGTATATATACATATATGGAGATAAGACAATAATAGAGACTTCAAAAATACTAAGTTGTCACTTCATCTCTTTGGACCTCATTTGCTTTATCTATAAAATGAGCAGGTTCTGATCTTTAAAGGTCCATTTCAGGTCTACTAACCTATGTTTATATGAATTCAACATTCATCAGACATTTATCGAATGTCTACTCTTTGCCAGCTGAATCAAGATGCTGGCAGTAAATCACTGAATGATTTATTACACTAGAAGGCAAGAGACTTTTGCTTTCTAGTGTAATAATGACTTGGAGTAAAAATTCCCTCTGGTAAAAATTTTGCTTACAGTGCCAATAGGTATTGTGGGTATGACCTTTCTGATGTACCTGAAAGTGAGCATGGTATAGAAAATGCTTGAGGTAGCAATGCATCATTTTTAATGACCTTGGAGCTAGTGATCCTTATGTTGTCCTAGACTTCTTATTTCCTACTGGTGCCCACCAGACACTAGTCCTCACAAGCTAGCATCACCCACTACATACCCCCAGGAAAGAACCAATCAGCATGTTGGATGATAGGCTCAATGATCCCAACGATCTGCAGAGAAACTGTGGTCATCATCTCAGTAATATTCCTAAAACACACAACAGAAGGTCATGGACAGAAGAAGGCAGAGATGTCTTGGGAACTCCAAGAAGCATTACTGATGCCAACGGCATTTGGAATCTTTGGTCAAGATTATGTCTGAGAAGACAAAGTGTAAGGAAGAGCCGTGCAAAAGTTTTCTATATAATTTGCTAGGTCTTTGCCCCTGCCATGGAGACTTACTACAATCTTGTTACCCATGCTAACTTAGCACTTATCCATATTTTATCACCAGGCTCATCCTGAGCTGAGGATGTCAATGGGGTGGGAGAGATGGAGAAGGGAAGTACTTCAGTAGCATATAGTATCCCCTTCTTGTGACCAAAATAATATTCCACAGAGCCAGCATGAGAGGGCTGCAAAGGCTTGAAACATGAACACTACTGGCAATTGCTTTACATTCCCATTATTCTTCTCCTGCTAATATCACTCTCAACTCCTTGTGCTTTACTCACCCATCTGCTTGTGGCCACAACAAGTTGGGTCCTAGTACAATAGCCATGTTACTGGGGGTCATCTTGTTTGTGTCTTGAAATTCTGACAATTTAGCTAAAAATTTGATCAAGTATCTGAAAGGAAATCAAAAAGTATTGGTTGAAAAAGGGCTAGATGACTGGATAGGAATTTTATTCTGTGCAGCTCAACTATCCAAGAACTCATACTGCATACTTGCTTTGATACAGATATCCTGGAGAAATCTGTCTTAACATTTTATATTGCAACATAAGGACATTATGAGGAAAATGCTTTGTAAACCCTAAAATGCTATGTAAATGTGAATAATCATCATTGTCCTCATGTCTTTGGGCTAAGTCATTCCTGCTATATTCCTTTGCCATGCTTAGATCTCAGTAAGATGCCTTCATCTGTTTTAAATAAATACTATCTCAAGAAATTCATCACTATTCCCCCAAATCCATTACATGATACCTTATCACATCATAGAAAACCCATTTTCTGCTATCTTCTCTTTTCCCCTAACAGAGAAATATGTATTCTACGTATTCTATTTCCATGCATGGAAAGAGAAAGAGATAAACCCATGCACAGAAAAGTATCTTCAGAAACTAATATTTCTTTTCCCTATGGCAAGCTTAATAGGTCTGGGAGTCTGATATATCAAAGAGGAACTTGAGATAAATAAATATTTGATGCTCCTAGTTTTTGCACAATAAATTTTAAATAGTTGGTGGGGGAGGGAGAAATAGTGGCGGGGAAAAGATATTTAAAAAGAAAAAAAAGTAATTTGCTTTGACAGTTTGTTTCATCCATTATTAAAAATTACTGTTAAACCAACTGAAAACCATCTTATATAATTATGCTGTTGATCAACGTTAAACACAGCAACACAATACACAAATGCATCTGTACACATGATGATACTCATACCCCAGAAAGAACAAAAAAAAAAAAATAAAACACTGTTTAACCATATAGCCAATACATCAGAAGACGTCCCTGAAAACCATGGAATGGATGGAGGAGTATCAGATAAGACAAAAAGTTCAATAGTGTCAGTAAGGAACTCTTGCAAAAACACAGAATCTGTAAATAAGTGACTTGACATGTTAACATTTAGAATAAAAGAGATAGGGACTGAATTCCAAAAAGTAAAATCAAGAACTCAATGAGAGACATACCTTATGAAAAGTAAGAATCTCACTAAGACCACTATCATTGGTTGTCTTCAACTTTTACCCTTGAACAATGACTCTGCTACTAATACCCCGGAAGGAAGATCCTGATAAAGGAGCTCTCAACTTTTCACAGTGTTATTACCTATTCTCACAATATCCATGGGCAAGAATGATGGTCTGGGTAAGATGGAAGCTCACTCTTCTCTTTAGGAGAAATGTGCTAAGGCAAATATAAATAAGTCTGAGCAATTTAAAAAAAGGGGGGTGGAAATTGGAGATAATGTTGACATTTAACAGAGGCCTGTTTTAAATGTCTATATTCATTGACAACTGATTTTCAGGTAAACTCCTGAGCTAAAGAACAGAAGTTTTTTGTTTGTTTGCTTGTTTTTTTCCTGATCACTAGTTTCTTGAAAAGATAAAGTTCTTAGACCAAAGGTCAGACTCAGAAAAACAAAGGGAAGGGACAAGTCATATATACTGGCCAGACTGTATGCTTCTGCCAAGTAGAAAAACAGCAAAGTTCAGCAAGTTTCTGCTGATGAAATCACTTGAGCATTCAGGTACACTGCGGTGCATCTTGGTAAAGATAAAGAGGTTCTCCTTGTCAATGGTATCTTGAAGTGGTTGTTTGAACTGGGTTAGTTAGGAGGGACTTACTGGAAATAACTAATGTTAAAACTAAGTATACAACAGACATCGATAAATGCCTTTCCATGATAACTAGTGCTTGCAATGATAAATGAATGCTAAATGCCTATGAGATTACTAATAGAGAGAAACTGTTGGTCACCTGGATACTGGGATAGGAGTCCATTCAGCTTATAATTTCTGTGGAAGACCAGAGACAAGAAAATGAACATCATCCAGATGCTTTCCATTTCTACTTACCTGATATTGTTATGATTGGCCTTGGGAAGTTTTTCACAAGTGTTCCATAGGGCCTGAAGCATCTTATCTTGATCTTGGATGCTGGAAGATTAAGATGAAACATCGGTGGCTAAGAATGAATGAAATCTACCAGTGTAACTGACAATGGGATTTAATTTCATTAAGCAGTCCTCAAACTCCATTCCTCAATGACCATTCAATGTCATTGACTTTTACCAGCCAGGCTGATTCCTAATTCTCTAACAGTAGCCCCTTCTCTGATTGGCTTGGTAGCTGCAGCCCTCCCACCCACACATAACTATAGTGGCCCCTTCAACTTCTTGGTAAAGTTTAGAGCTCTCCTACTCTCACTTCTGAGTCATATGCTCAAAGTTTTATCCCCTTTCTTGTAGAAGCTCCATATTCCCCAAATCCCACACATCTATAATATCTACTTCTATTACAAATATGACTGCTTTTTCTTTCCATTTCTTCAAACCCACAACATCTAATTTCACTAGTTGCTTCTATTACAGAGCAGCGTCACACAGCACCCCAGAGTTGGAAGAGACCTTAAAATCTACCTAATTCAATCTATATTTCCAGTTTGTATCTCCAATTTGTACCCTTTCTGAAAATATTCTTGACAATTAATCATCTACTCATTTCTTGAAGATTGATGGTAACCTGCTGCCTTTCAATGTGTCCCATTCTGCTTTGGGGTAGCTTTAATGATTGGACAGTATTTTCTCCCATAAAGCTGAAATCTGCCTTCCTGTATTTGCCACCCATTATTCCTAGTTCTACCCAGTGGGACCAAGCAGCACAAGACTAATCTCTCATCAACATGACAATATTTCAAATACCTGTAGAGAGCTACCACATCCCTAAGTCTCCTCCTTCTAGGCTAAACATTTGCTGAAACAGGTAAGAATAGAGGACAGGTTAGAGAGGTCATACCAGTGGGGACAGCAGAACTACTGCTAATACAAGACCAAGCAATTTTTACATCATTTTTAATGGACAAATGAGAACTTCAGTTATTTATTAGCCTTCCACACCCATTTTTATGTTTGCACCTCATAAATAACACTAAAGACTTTTGCTTTTATCTCTTTAAAATCACATAATAGTAGCTTTTCCAATGGGAGAACGTGGCCTCAGAGTCAAAAAGACCTACTCCAAGTCCAACATGTTTAGCCTATAACAAATACTACCTGTGTGTCCCTAGGCAAAACACTTACTCTCTCATTGCTCCTATCTATAAAACCATTGTATTTATAAAACCATTAGTTCAGTTTTGTAAAATTAAATTTCATTTTTTAATGAACAAAAATATATTTTGTTTCCTATTGAAAAAGTGTCATCCTATTAAAAAAAAAGAAAATCATAAACGAAACTAGCTTAAAAAATGCATTAATCAAGAAAAAAATCCACATTGGCCATGTTAAAAAATACCTCATCACTTCTTTGTCAGGGATGGGGGAGGGTGATAGCATGCATTATCATTAGTCCTCTGGAATCATGGTTAGTCATTACTCTGATGTAAATTAAGGCTTTTAAAATTGTTTACTTTTCACAGTATTGTTGAGTTAATTGTTTTCCTTGACCTGTTTACTTCATATTCATTAGTTCCCAGGTTTCCTGGAAAATTCACTTTGTAATTTGTTATGACACAATAATATCCCATTACATTCATATTTCATAATTTGTTCAGCCATTCCCCAATTGTTAGGTACCTACCCCCTTAGTTTTCAGGTCTTTGTCACCACAAAAAAGCAGCTACAAATATTTTGGTACAAATCAGTCTTTTTCCTCTTTCTTTGACTTCTTTGGGGTTAAGGCCAAACAGGAGTATTAGAGTCAAAGGATATGCACAGTTTAGTAATTTGGGGACATACTTTCTGATTGTTTTCCAGAATGGCTATACCAATTCATAGTTCTACCAACAGTATATTAATATACCTGTTTTTCTGCAACCCCCTCAACATTTGTCATTTTCGTTTTTAGTCAATTCTGCTAATTTGATGAGTATGAGGTGGAACTTTGGAGTTGCTTTAATTTTCATTTCTCTAATTATTAGTGATTTGGAGAATTTTTCATATGATTATTGAATGCTTGGATTTCTTCCTTTGAAAACTGCCTGTTCATTTCCTTTGATATCACATCCCCCAAGTTCTACTGGGAAATAACTCTTCTTCAAACCAATCTGAATTAGTTCCTTGTATATCTTAGAAATGAAATTCTTATCAGCAAAACTTGATGCAAAGAATTTTTTCCCTGTTACCTGTTTCCCTTCTAATTTCTGTTTGTTTGTTTTTTTTCTTTTTAGGCAATTGGGGTTAAGTGACTTGCCCAGGGTCACACAGCTAGTAAGTGTCAAGTGTTTGGTCTGAGGCTGGATTTGAACTCAGGCCCTCCTGACTTCAGGGCCAGTTTCCCTTCTAATTTTAATGGCATTAGTTTTATTTGTACAAAAACTTTATAATTGTGTGTAATCAAAATGAATAATTTTGCCTTCTGGGACTCTATCTTCTGTTTGGCTGTGAACTGTTCCCCTATATTTCTTTTTATTTATTTATTCCTTTGCTTTTTGGTGAGATAATCAGGATTAAATGACTTGCCCAGGGTCACACAGCTAGTCAGTGTCAAGTGTCTGAGGCTGGATTTGAACTCAGGTCCTTCTGACTCCAAGGCCAAAGCTCTATTCACTGTACCACCTAGCTGCCCCTCCCCTATAGTTCTAAAAGATATTTTCCTCCTTGTTCCTCTAGTTATTTACTATGTGAAATTTTATATCTAAGTCATATATCCATTTGGATCCCAACGTGGTATGTGGTTAGAGATGTTTAGGCTATACCTAGTTTCAGTAAGACTGCTTCCCAGGTTTCCCAGGAGTTATTGTTAAATAGTGAGTTTTTATACTAAGTTTTTGGGTTTATCAAATACTAGGCTACTTGGTTTGTTTGCTTCTTTATGTTATGTACTTAATCTGTTCTACTGATCAACCTTTCTGTTTATTAGCCCTAAAGGCTTTTGATGATTTTGTAGTACACTTTGAGTTCTGACACTGCCAGGTCCTGCTCCCCATCTACCTCCTTTGTTTTTCATTATTTCCACTGAGATCCTTGATCTTTTTTCCTCCAAGATGAATTTCATTATTGTTATTTTTTTCTTTCTCTACAAACTAAACCTGTAGTAGTTTAATTGGTATGGCGCTGAATAAGTAAACTAATTTAGGTAGTTTTTCATTTTAATATTATTGACTCAGCCTTACAATGAACAATTTAAATTTCTCCAATTATTTAGGTCTGTATTTCTATAAAGTATCTTACAGTTGTATAGGACATACAGTTACATAGTCCCCATATGTGAATTAATAGGTAGACTCTAAAGTATTTTATATATTCTGTAGTTATTTTGAGTGTATTTTGTCTTGCTGAGTTTTATTGATAAAATATGATTTATTTTGTAGCTTATGATTTATGTAGATTTATATATTCTGCAACTTTTCTGAAGGCATTGTTTCAAAATTATTTTAGTTCACTTTTTCCAGTTCTCAAAATATGCCTTCATATCATCTGCAAAAAGTCATAATTTTGTTTCTTATTTTCCTATGCTTAGTCCTTTAATTTCATTTTCCTAGTTTTATTATTATAGCTAGTATTCTAGCACTCTAACAAAGAGAGGTGATAATAATGAGCAGCTGTATGTTAACCTCAATCTTATTGGAAAGGCAATCAGTTTATCCCCATTTAATATAAAGCTGAATCTTTGTTTTAAATATGCATTAATTATGTTAAGGAAAAATCCATATATTTCAAAGTTTTCTAGTTATCCCCATTTAATATAAAGCTGAATCTTCATTTTAAATATGTATTAATTACAATGTTAAGGAAAAATCCATATATTTCAAAGTTTTCTAGTGTTTTTAACAGACAATTTTTTTTGTCAAAAGCTTTTTCCTGTAACTATTAACATACTAATCATATAATTGCTGTTGTTTTTGTAATTACATGACCATTTTTGTTTATAGTTTTCCTAATACTAGACCATGCATAAACCTTCCTACCATATGTGTAAACTGGTCATAATGTATAATCTTTGTGATATGCTGCTGTATTCTGTTGGATATTTTATTTATTTATTTGCATTCAATGTTCATTAGAAGTAGTGGTCTATAGTTTTCTTTCTGTTTTCACTCTTGCTTGGGTATCATGGATATATTTGTATAAAAGAAAGAATTTGGCAGGATCCATTGTTTTCATAGTTTTGTAGTTTGTATGAATATTTCTTTGATTGTTTAAAAAGATTCAATCTAATCTCTGGGCTTTTTCTTTGGTAGATCATTTATGTCTTGTTCAATTTCTCTCTCCCCACCCCCACCAAAATTAGCTTGTTTAAATTCTTTATTTCTTGTTCTATTAACCTGTGTTTTATATTTCTGTAAACATTCATCCAAGTTGTAAATTTATTATCATATACTTGGGCAAAATAATTTCTAATAATATCATTTTTTCTTCTTCATTTGTGGTAAATAAGATTTTTATTTTTGCTACTAATTTTCCTCTTTTTAAAAAATCTAATTAATGAATTGTCTATTTTATTTTTACTTTAAAAAGCTACTAGTTTTAGTTATTAATTCAATGTTTTGCTTTCAATTTTGTTATCTTCTTCTTTGATTTGTCCAACTTATATTTTGGTGTTTAATGGGGATTTATAAAAAAGTTGGGTTTCTAGGGATTTTTTTTTGTTCCATGCTCAATTAATTTGATATATTCTTTCTCTCTTTTAGTGATGATGATGTTTAGAGACGTAAAATTACCCTTAAGAATTGCCTTGAATTGTGTGAAAAAAATTTTTTTAGTATGCTGTCTCATGTTGTGATTATTGCTAATAAAATTATCTATATTTTAATACTTATTTTTTACACACAAATTCTTTGGGATTATTATTTAGTCTCCAACTAATTTTAATACTTTATTGAATAGGATTTTGTTGTATTGAGTGCAGTAATTTGAGTACTATTTCTGTTTTTCTGAATTTTTTACTTTATAATGGCCCAATACACTTTTTGTAAAGGTGCAAGGCACAGCTGAGAT